GTGTGTGTGTGTGTGTGTGTGTGTGTGTGTGTGTGTGTGTGTGTGTTTCAGAGTGAGTGCTTTTCCTTGTTAACTGTGTTTTTTTGACCTGGCAGTCCAGGCAGGGGATTTAGCGTGGTTTTGCTCTGCACAAGTGGCTCCAATTAGTCTTTAAAAACACACTCGACCTCATGGTGCAGACACTGATACTGACAGTGACACAAAAAATATACAGTTATCCTCTGAATCCTTTATATATGATTGATATATGAAACCATATTCTGATGTTTTTTGTTTGGACAGTGCTTTTTTAAGAAAACCAAATTGATGCTTTTGTGTTGTTTTGTTCAAACATTTTTGTTTATTTTTGCACATAATACTATTTGTATACTATCTGCATGCTTTGCCATTTCAGTACAGCATAAATGAGTTTATTTACTCAAAATTTGATGTAGAGAATCAGCAAGGGCGCCCCATAATGGTTGGTGAAACCATTGAAATATATTACTGGATTGGGCGTGGCTAGCGCGTTGCTAGCTACATTGACGTGCACGCACTGGAGCTCTGCTATGCATCGAAGAGTCACAACAAAATGAATGGAGGTCGATGGACTGAGAGGCGTCATCCTGATGAAAAACTTTTATAACTTCCTTATTTCTTGCTCGATTTTTACAAACTATGGTTCAAAATAAAGCTGAGAAAATTGTGAATTTTATAGTTGCTGAAATTTAAAATAGATAACTAATTTAAATGACTAAAACAGTGGCTTAAACTAAGTATTTTGCACTTCACAGGCGTTTTTTTCATACAAATCAATGAGTTCTGACCAGCTGGATATTCATACATATATTTATTAATCAGAACTGAGTCTTAGACATTTAAAATAATAAAATTAATCTGTCAAGTCTATATATATATATACAACTATAAAAGTTTTTGCTGTAAACTACAATAATTTTAACATCAGTAAAAACATACTAAAAATACAAATTATTTCAGGTCACAAAGAATTGTTTAACAAATTTATTTAATCACAATGAATTATTCTTCAGTTTCACAATGATGCTGGCTGTATCTGAAGCCGACCCACAGCTGGCACACGTTTTTTCCTCCTTTTTCTCTGGAAATGTTGAAAAACACAAATACTGGATGTAGAAAATATCTGAATAAACCAACCTGTCTGACAATGTGACTATTTTGTTTATGATGCTCAATCATTACATTAGTGTCTGTCATTAGTGAGTCTACATCATAATTTCTGAATTTACTAGTCAACAATCCAATTAAGTCCATATTTACTTGTTTAATATCAGTAAATAATATATTTGACAACAGATAAAATAGATTTTAAATAAGGTTAAACATGAACATTATATAGTCTAACTAGTCAACAATCCAATAAAGTCCATATTTACTTGTTTAATATCAGTAAATAATATATTTGACAACAGACAAAATCGATTTTAAATAAGGTTAAACATGAATGTTGTAGCTGTTTAATGTTAGCATACAGGTTTTACAATTAAAATAATTAATTTTAGTTAAATATGTGTAATATTTACCTGTGAAACATAACCCCTTTATCTCTTGTAATCATGATGTAACAATCTATGTAGTTTATAGCAAAGTATTTGTACCATTTAAACATTTATAAAGCGTTTGTTTGCACTGCGCTACGTTCTGCTCATTGATTTCAATGGTTAGCGTTAGCATTAGCTCAATGCATAAAAATCCCCCTTGTGAAGCCACGCCCAGGTCACGTGANAAAATAGATTTTAAATAAGGTTAAACATGAACATTGAAGCTGTTTAATGTTAGCATACAGGTTTTACAATTAAAATAATTAATTTTGGTTAAATATGTGTAATATTTACCCGTGAAACATAACCTTTTTATCTCTTGTTAACATATTGTAACAATTTCTGCAGTTTATAGCAAAGTATTTGTACCATTTGTACGTTTATAAAGCGTTTGTTTGCACCATGCTACATTCTGCTCATTGATTTCAATGGTTAGCGTTAGCATTAGCTCAATGCATAAAAATCCCCCTTGTGAAGCATGCCCAGGTCACGTGACGCCCAATCCAGTAATATATGTCAATGGGTGAAATAGCTTAAAATGGTTGTTTTTAGTTAACAATAACATAAAAGCCATAAAAAATTGTTGCAGCAAAGGTCTAATTTTATTGTGTTACATTTATTAAGTTGAACTTAAATGATTTATTTATTCATTTTATCTATTCATTAAAACAAAAGAAAAATCGATATACAATTAAAAACAAAACACTTTTAATGAATTAAAGGAAGTAGAGGGAAGAAAAAAATCTCATAACATTAATTAAGACATGAATTAAAATGGTTTTGCTTTTACTAAGTTGTTGCTTATTTAATTTTTTTTCTGGGTTTAAATACAAAACTAATCAAGGCACTTTGCAGTTAGAAACTGATTGATAATCGTCCTCTTAAAAATTAAAAACAAATTCCAGCTTTCAGCCTCAAGCAATATAAAAATGTTTCTGGATGGTTTGGTTGACATTCAGGATTAAACAGCTTTATTCTTATTTCACTGTTTTCCTTCCTTCCTGAGTTGTTCTGAGTGTGATACAGTCTCCAGTCTAATTCACACATTTTTTTTCCTCTTGATTTCTCCTCTCAGGACCCCTCGTTCTCACTCCTCCTCCACGATAAGCTCCAGGTGCCCAACAGTTCTCAGCGGGCGTGGAACGAGCGCGACAGCCGCTGCGATGTCTGCGCCACGCACCTCACTCAGCTCAAACAGGAAGCCGTGCGCCTGGTTCTGACTCTGGACCAATGGGATTTGTCTCCCAGCTCCTCTCCTCCAGCCCTGATTGGACCATATGGATCTCATGGACTTCCCGGACAAACAGGAGCATCTGGAGCAGCAGGAGGTCAGTTTCTTTCCTCCTCTGTTGCTGCTGCGTCGCTCCCTTCTCAGTCATCCACCCAGTCACCTTCTCCCAGCCTGAGCCAGACTCCGACGCCAAGCCCAAGCCATGGACCACCCAACTCCAGCCAGGGGAGCCCCTCAGTGGCACCGACATCCAGCTGTGCTTCGACAAACCCACAACTTCAAGGTGCAGGGCACCGACTGGGTTCCAAACCCAGATCCCTGGGTCTGGGAGCTGGTGCTGACAAACGGAGTGGATCCCCGATTTCATCTAAATCTGCTGGTGCCCAACAGCAGCAGCCAGTGACCGCAGTAAACAGCCCCAGTAATAATGATGGGAACAGCTGTAATAACAGCAGCGGAGCTGTCCTGAGTACAGCTGCTCTGCAGGCCCATCAGCACCAGAGCCGAACTAATGGAGGGGTTACACTCTATCCATATCAGGTAAGCATCTTTCTCTGTTTGTGTGCATTAGTGCTTTCAGACACTCAGAGATACTTTTTCTACAAGGACACCGAAGATGTCGCCATGGAAACTGAAAACCAGTTTTGTTCCTTTATAATTATATGACCAATTGATAACAGGTTACAGACGTACAGATAAATGTTTGGGTATGATTTGTACAGACAGGACAATAAATGTAGCTCTCAGTTTTATCATGCTCGTCTACAGACTGAAGTGTTTTTAATATCTTTTCTTTTTCCATCCAACTTCAGTAAAGTAAGAAAAAGTCCACACGGGACACAAAAAATAAACAAAACCTGTTATTATTACAGAGTTAAATTGCCACAACATTAATACAAATTAACAACAAAAACAAAATAAAACTCAAGTTTTGCATTTATTTGTAAATGCCTAACTGATAAACACTTTATTTTTTTTATCAACCATTTTACCAAAAAGGAAAAGTTCTTGCTTTCTACCCTTTTCAAAGGAAACAAAGCATTTCTTTTCATGTCAAATGTTAATAACTTTCAAATGTACACAGTATCTATAATTTGTGTTTGGTAGATTATTTGTTGTTACGATGCTTCTTGGTAATAAATCTTGCGATTGGCACCTGATTAGCAGAAGGGACTTTTTTTTCATGTGCGCAACCCATACTCAGCTGCTCATCCCACAAATGCATGTTCTTTACAAATGTGGCCATAAGTGAATTTAACAGGCTTTTCAGTTGTGTAAGATTTATTGCCAAGAAGCATTGATACAACAAAGAAAAAACCTAACACAAATGTCCCTACTTTTTGTGTTAAGTTTAGTTTTAAAAGGGGTAAAACTTGACTCAAAAATCATTTACTACAGAGAATTAGCAGGAGCAGTGTCTCAAAATCTATACTGAATCTATATTGCACACACAATAAATTTACTTTAAAGAAAACACATAGTGGAATAAAAAATATTTGCTAAATAAAAATAAGTTTATCAGATCAGCATGAATAACTCAGCCTGTAAGGTTGTATTTGAGGCTAAAGCAGCATGTTGAGGTCTCCACATCATTTGTCTGAATGTGTGTGTGTGTTTGTGTGTTTGTGTGTGTAAAGCAAGACTGCACCAAAATCTTTTTCAGACCAATATAACCTATTAGGAAACTTCACTGGCTGGCATTGTTTATAGAAATTTTTCTGCTACTGTGGCCTGAATAAAAAGGAGCCGTAGCCCACAGCGAACAATATGACTCATGGTAACACCATCCATTATGTTTAATGTCTCTCAAGGCATTGGCATTAAAATAAAATAGAGCAGAAATAAAAATAGGACAGTGTAAGAAATAATGTTAACAAAGTCCAGGACTGCAAAGACAAATTAAACCATGGAGCTCTTCACCCAATCATCATTTTTCTTCATATTGAAGAACATACATTTAATAACTGGCAAAAACTCAACTTTACTGTATTTATAAACTTCCTATGGGGAGAGTGGCAAACAGAAAGTCATTGATGGAGGAAAATAAATATACAAAGTTTCCTCCAACAATGACTTTCTGTTTGCCACTCTCCCCATAGGAAGTTTATAAATACAGTAAAGTTGAGTTTTTGTCAGTTATTAAATGGATGTTCTTTACACACACACACACACACACACACACACACACACACACA